GCATTTCAAGACATATATGCATCCATATCACATTGCAACACACACGGGAAAAAAATCCCAGAATGCAAGGGTGTAGGAACAATTTGAACAGCAAAATTCATAGATATATATATGTATATTTATTTTATTTTATTTTAATTATAAATAATTATAATGTATAAATGTTATAAACGTATACTTCTTTATAATTATAATTTAATGTACTATAAATAAGCATAACTAAATAAATGATAAATTATAAATAACAGGGATTAAAAATTATTTGTATGATTTTTAGAATGTCACATTGTTAGATTAGTAACATACTAGTGTCTAATTCTATTGAACTCCATTGCAAGTCAGATTTCTGCAAGCTATTTGTATGAGTTGCTGCCTTTGTAGTACGTTCAAAATCAGTTACTTTTGAGAATCTTCGGAGTTCACTAGGTTTTGGGTCAGTGGCCTGTCTGATATATTGATCTGTCAGTAAGTATGTGTGCCTGTATGTCAAGGGCGGAGGCATTATAGACACACTAAACACTACACACACACACACACACACACACACTCTCTCTAAACTGAGAGAAGGGGGCCTGACTGTAGGTCTGATGTCTGTATAGATAGGATCTTAGTTGACCACAAGAGAGACAAAACGCAGGAACCGGCCCCAGAGATCAGCCCGAATGCTGCTCGATTCATTGATAACAAGGCTATCCGGCTGCTTCGACCTCATATTATCTGGATCTATCAGTGGATTCAGTTCAAAACAAGGCCTTACTTTACCCTCTACCAGAGATATCAGATCTTGACATCAAAATCAGACCGTTTCACTGTAGTACATCACTAAAGTGCTGGATTTTGAAGAGCAGTCAGCGATTTTTTGAAAGCAGGCATCGTTTTCGGTCATGTCACGTCTTCAAACGTTGGGCGTTGAGCAGAATTGTCCGTCAACAATTTATGTTCATCTACCCACATTTACATACTCAGATGGTTCATAAAACCATGCTTATGGGATAGGGCTGGTCTATGTAAATATATGCACAAATGCACCAATTTGCATACGTGTCCAACAATTTGTTTCAACTGGACACAGTGAATTTGTGTAAATCACACCGATTTCCCCCATCCCAGCAGTTTCCAGCGCTGCTCTCTTGTGGTCATGAGCTGTAAATACCACTCGTATTGTTTCAGTGCATATGTCTAATGATAAGAATAGGCTAATACAGTTAATCAGCTGAAAAGAAGCTTGGGATAAATATGCAAATCTGATATTTTCGTATGTTTTGGTGTCTATTTCTCTCTCGGATGACATAATAAGCTTTTAAGACCGTATCTATCCCTGATGCTTTTAGGTGCGAATCCCACATTGAATTGTATTGTTTATAAATGATTATCATGGCTTAGTTTTGTACGGATTCTGACATCAAATTGGTTATATTTTTATTTCTGCAAATCGACGAGACATCTCAAACAGACTGAGCTGCATTAGCTGTTTCCGCATTCGCAAACTCAACTCAAAACTGGTGCTTTAGTTTTGTTTTTAGCTACAACCGCTGCCTCAAACCAGCCAATCTGACACACACACGTAACAGTCCGTTCACAGGACTCGACGAAGCTTTAACATTACAGCGGGTGAAACGGGAAGAGGGGCTCGTCCAGACAAAAAAAAACGGCGATGTCTCGTTTATCTCAGCTGGAAGATTCTTCGAGAGTAGGAACACGTCCTCCAATGGTGAAACCATCTTGTGGACGATAGACTGGATTGCATATGTATATACCAGTTACGATAAGCTTCGGTTGGATTATACTAGTTTTACTAGCTCTAAAGAACATTGGATGATCAGCATGATGGCGCTGAGTGTTTTCTTGACTGCCAATGCCCATTTTCACCCCCAAAATCCAGATCAAACACGACTGGATCGCTTGCATCCGATCAACAAGGGAAATAAACCAACAACCTATGTATCCCGCTCTGGATTTAGCATGAAGCCTTGCCCTCATCACCTCAACCCAGCTAAAAGAGAAGGGACCTCCAACCGCGAGAGTCCCACCAGTTTTGGGTTTGCTTCATTGGGTGTCAACGGATGGACGTTATGAATGGACAAACAAGGGGTTTCTGCCGTTTCGGTTTCCGTTGATCAGTATTTTCATGAGGGGGACCTTGTCGTAGATGCGTAGGAGAACATCTTCTGGACTTGTCTAATCTGTTAATCTTTGCATCCACAAAGATCCTAAACAGGTCGTTCTGAAGGTTGTCTTCTTCTCTGTTGGATGTTCTTGGCTGAAGGGAAGGCAACACACCAACCTAGCGCTTTAGTTGTTTGCGAAGCTCTCGGTTGGTCTTGCGCCGCACAGCTAGACTGAAGAAACCCATCGTGCACTTTTCCTCCTTTAAAGATCTTTAAAAGCCGTGCGGGTTTCTTGAGTCTAGCTGAAGGAAATTTACATTCATGCACTTACGATGAAGCGGGTGAACGAATCGTTGGTGACTGTGAATGCTGATTAAGGACAACACAAACCACCAGGTGCCGTTGTTAACCAAAATGAACTACCTCTCTCATTCATTCACACCATTTCAATGTTTGTTTGTTTATTTTAAGAAACACTAAATTCTCTATTTATTCCTCTCGGACTCAAATGCTGGACTGTTTACCTCAAGACGTCTCCATAAGCCTGCAGCTTAAACGGTGCTTTAATGCCAAAAGCCCATTTCTCAATGTGTTACGTTATCTCTGTTATGCTAACAACATGGCGGTCGTGTGCACTGAAAGTTGGCGCACCTCCCCAAGATGCAAGCGTTTCGTTTGGATTCTTCCAATTGAAACGCTCACATTTTGGCGAGTTTGGGAGATGTTCCCGCTAGCCTGACCGCTAGTATCCGTCAGTATTCACTCTTTCTCATGCAGAATGTCAAAGCATTGACAACCAAGCTAGCTAATCCCAAAGTGTCGTTTAGCATCGGAAAACTGTGTATATCTACGTGATCGGGCATTGCAGATGTTTGCTTTGCATGTGTATTGAAGTTCTCCTCTGTATTCAAGCTAATGGCTTAACGGTTCTCTGCCTCTGGCGCCCTCTAGCTGCTCTATTTGGTGTCTTCTTTCCTTTCTCTCTGCATCTCTTTGTCCCAGTGTTTATCCATGTGGGAACTCAATCAAGAGTGGCATGAAGCATATCTGACTTCCTTCACATTATTATTATAAAATGGATAGTTCCGGTGCTTGATTCTGACACGTAACAGTCCGTTCACAGGACTCGACGAAGCTTTAACATTACAGCGGGTGAAACGGGAAGAGGGGCTCGTCCAGACAAAAAAAAACGGCGATGTCTCGTTTATCTCAGCTGGAAGATTCTTCGAGAGTAGGAACACGTCCTCCAATGGTGAAACCATCTTGTGGACGATAGACTGGATTGCATATGTATATACCAGTTACGATAAGCTTCGGTTGGATTATACTAGTTTTACTAGCTCTAAAGAACATTGGATGATCAGCATGATGGCGCTGAGTGTTTTCTTGACTGCCAATGCCCATTTTCACCCCCAAAATCCAGATCAAACACGACTGGATCGCTTGCATCCGATCAACAAGGGAAATAAACCAACAACCTATGTATCCTGCTCTGGATTTAGCATGAAGCCTTGCCCTCATCACCTCAACCCAGCTAAAAGAGAAGGGACCTCCAACCGCGAGAGTCCCACCAGTTTTGGGTTTGCTTCATTGGGTGTCAACGGATGGACGTTATGAATGGACAAACAAGGGGTTTCTGCCGTTTCGGTTTCCGTTGATCAGTATTTTCATGAGGGGGACCTTGTCGTAGATGCGTAGGAGAACATCTTCTGGACTTGTCTAATCTGTTAATCTTTGCATCCACAAAGATCCTAAACAGGTCGTTCTGAAGGTTGTCTTCTTCTCTGTTGGATGTTCTTGGCTGAAGGGAAGGCAACACACCAACCTAGCGCTTTAGTTGTTTGCGAAGCTCTCGGTTGGTCTTGCGCCGCACAGCTAGACTGAAGAAACCCATCGTGCACTTTTCCTCCTTTAAAGATCTTTAAAAGCCGTGCGGGTTTCTTGAGTCTAGCTGAAGGAAATTTACATTCATGCACTTACGATGAAGCGGGTGAACGAATCGTTGGTGACTGTGAATGCTGATTAAGGACAACACAAACCACCAGGTGCCGTTGTTAACCAAAATGAACTACCTCTCTCATTCATTCACACCATTTCAATGTTTGTTTGTTTATTTTAAGAAACACTAAATTCTCTATTTATTCCTCTCGGACTCAAATGCTGGACTGTTTACCTCAAGACGTCTCCATAAGCCTGCAGCTTAAACGGTGCTTTAATGCCAAAAGCCCATTTCTCAATGTGTTACGTTATCTCTGTTATGCTAACAACATGGCGGTCGTGTGCACTGAAAGTTGGCGCACCTCCCCAAGATGCAAGCGTTTCGTTTGGATTCTTCCAATTGAAACGCTCACATTTTGGCGAGTTTGGGAGATGTTCCCGCTAGCCTGACCGCTAGTATCCGTCAGTATTCACTCTTTCTCATGCAGAATGTCAAAGCATTGACAACCAAGCTAGCTAATCCCAAAGTGTCGTTTAGCATCGGAAAACTGTGTATATCTACGTGATCGGGCATTGCAGATGTTTGCTTTGCATGTGTATTGAAGTTCTCCTCTGTATTCAAGCTAATGGCTTAACGGTTCTCTGCCTCTGGCGCCCTCTAGCTGCTCTATTTGGTGTCTTCTTTCCTTGCATCTCTTATCTCTTTGTCCCAGTGTTTATCCATGTGGGAACTCAATCAAGAGTGGCATGAAGCATATCCTTCACATTTCACATTATTATGGAAGAATACTGTTTTTATTAATATCATTACACTTTATTTGCTCTGTTTTATTTTGTGAAACCTAACTACGTATATGGTGAATTTATAACAGCTTCGCGTCGTGCGTGATTTATAACCTTAGCTGTTATAAATTCACTGTAAACCACGGCTTCACAGGGCTCATTGCTTTATTATTATTATTATTGACAATGACAACAACAGCAATAATAATAGTAACAATAATAATTAATAATAATAAATAGTTTAATAATAATTAGCACTATTAATAATAAATTATTATTATTATTATTAATTTTTATTATTGTAAATAATATTAATTATAATAATAGTAAAACATGCATTATTATTTAATAATGCTGCTGTTTTATTATTATATTTAATAATAATTAATGCTGGTATTATTATGATTGTTATTAATAATAATGATAATATGCTTTTATTATTGTTCACAATATTACTTATAATAGTAATAATGCTGCTATTATTATTGCAATTAATTTTTAACAAAATAAAAGCATTTTTTTTATTAATCATAATTGTTATTCATTATTTAATAATAATGAATAACCATTCAGTTCCATTTTGTCTAGATGTTTTTGAACACATTCTTGTCTATACAAGCCATATATATATATATATACCCGCCAAACATTGCTCGCCATTCCCATTTAAACAAGGCCGGTTTTATCTGGTTTCATTGACGCTTTGTCCTCTCTGTTTCTTCCTCAATTCTGCCATTTCTCCATCCATTTTCCTCTGAACTACACACTCACAAACACAAACGTATAGATTCGCCACCAGCATGTACTTCACAGACAGAAATACTTAGTACTATCTTCAGCGTAGAAGTCGTATAATGTCGTGTTGTTGTTTTTTTGAGTGACGGATTACTGCTCAATGTTTGGACACTATCTGAAGCTGATTCTCCACGCTAGCTCATTCAGACCTCTGTGTGCCTACACCCCAAAGCCTTATTCTGGGAGCGTGTCAGGGTTCGGGCGTTAGTTTGAAGTTCTGCCCAGTTTGTGAAGTTCATTCGCGAGATCGAGGCTCACAGTCGGACTGAACGCATGTTGAATCAGTACGTGTTGGTTTGGAAATCATATAAGAATCTCATTTGTGACCCTGGAGCACAAAAGCAGTCTTAAGTCGCTGGGGTATATTTGTAGCAATAGCCAACAATACATTGTATGGGTCAAAATTATCAATTTTTCTTTTATGCCAAAAATCATTAGGATATTAAGTAAAGATCATGTTCCATGAAGATATTTAGTAAATCTCCTACCGTAAATATATCAAAACTTAATATTTGATTAGTAATATGCATTGCTAAGAACTTCATTTGGACAACTTTAAAGATGATTTTCTCAATATTTAGATTTTTTTGCCCCCTCAGATTCCAGATTTTCAAATAGTTGTATCTCAGCCAAATATTGTGCTATCCTAACAAACCATACATCAATGTTTATTCAGCTTCCAGGTGATGCACAAATCTCAATTTCGGAAAATTGACACTTGAGACTGGTTTTGTGCTCCAGGGTGACATATAGGCCCGAAACACTTTACTGAAGTATATTGAGAAATGGCTTCTTGAATGAGTTAAGCTAGAAATGTAGGGTGGGACTTGAATCGATTGGATTGTTGTCATTTGCAAAGGAAGGGGACATTACTTTGATTCAAGATTACAAGGTCATATGGTTTTTCTTAAAATGACATGTACGGATAAATCATTTATAATAAACAATGCAGTATTCCATAAAACAACAATGAGTTGCACGGAAACCTCGGGACTCAAGGGAGCGATAGTTTCCTTCAAATGCGTCATTTGTGTGCTATTAGATATAAATCAACTAACTTTAACTTTAAGAGAGAACTGGTCGAAGACCGCTCATGTTTATGTCCACTAGTGTGTACAATAAATTACAGATTTAGAAATGCAACGGGTTTGCGTAGCTAGAGTCTGTTTGAGGCCTTCAGATAGTGTTTGATTGAATCTGTTCAGTCGGACTGTGGTTCTCAGCTCTCCGAATGAACCGAACCAAAACCAGGATGGTTTCTTAGTGATCCAAACACGTTCGTCTCAGACCGACGGTCCGAGAGAACGCTCCTGGAATCAGGTGCCTTATTTTCCGTATTTACAGACTTCAAATCACGATTACACTTTACATATGCAGTTTTGTTTATCCATGCACAATCCATTTTCTAGCACAGATTGTGTCTTAAGATTGAAGAGTGAAGTAGATTTAAGTAAGTTTTCTTTTTTTTTTTATCACTGATTTGATTTGAGAATTGGTTGGTTGCAGGTGTCTCCAATAAATGAAGGATAATTCATGCAATTTGAGATTAGTTGGTTGGAAAAGCAGCACTTTTCTCATGCTGTTTTAGACACGGAACCGGTCTGTTTGAGACGGATTCACCACCGGTTTGTCCAGGTTTTCGCCCTCATTCCAAACTTCTTCTGTGAAACACAAAATGAGATGTTTAGCCGTAGCGCGTCAACTGGTTTTATGATATGATAGTTTTATGATGCTTTTGGAAATCGGACGTATAAACCACTGTCCGCTTGCTTTTTGTGGCAAACAGAAACTTAGACATTCTGCCTCAAATCCCCTGTTGGGTTTCACGGATCAGTGAAAATAAAGCATGTCTGGAACAAGAAGATTGTGGGTAAATTATACGTTTTTTGGAGGTGGAGTGTTCCTAAAATGGTGCAATTCTCTGAGAGGACACTGGAACCCAGAAAGAAATGCATTCAATTTGTTAAACGTGGTCACGGCTCCTCTTTTAGGCGAAATCTTGAACAAATCCCGTCGTTGGTGGATCACGGTTTGGATCTCGAGAACCCATCGTGACTTTCTAAACCACAGAAACCGATCACAAACACACCTCACATCACTTTTATATTGCTAGAGAAACTCGAAAAGCTCAAAACACTAATGTATAATCGGAGCTCTTTCATTTTTAAACTCAGTCAGCTTAGACCGTCTCATTTGTGCGATCTCTCTTTTTCCCTTGAATGTCCATTACGCATTTATTTTGTGCATTGTATGTAGTAAATGAGATGTTTTGGAAAAATCACAAATAAACAGCTGTATATACTGATGCATAACCTGTGGCTGTCTATGAGTAAAACATTCAGTCAGAAGAGAAAGAATTCAAGGCTAACTACCTTAAAGATATGACGGGATGAAATAATACAAATATACTCAAAACACTCTGCATGATGCAATACATTATGCATCCCATGAAACATTGGGAATGATGATATAATCTAAAAAAACAATGGTATTGGACTTGTAGTCATGGATTTTAATATGTAAATATGTGCAAATATAGCAGTTTTATGGGAAACTGACTTGATTATGTGATTGGCAATATTTTATGGGAGTTTAATAAGAATGCAAATGGATGTTTTGTCCAGGTAGATCTACTACGTATCATCATTTAGTGGAAAGAAAACATTCAAAATACACTTTTGTGTGTTTATTTTATTGCACTTTATTCATTAGCGTCTGTAGATTTCAGTCCATATCTTTAAAAGTTTTTTCTCCACTTCAGCAGCACTTAAATACACCAAAACTTACAGTTTTATTCCTCTCTGTATTCTGAAGGTTTTTACTGAGGGATTTGTTCATATTTCATTCAGGCTGATTTATATGATATTTTATTCCTAAAAACACGACTTTTTTTATTTTTATTTTTTTTTGGCTGTTGACAGTATTTTCTGATTTATGGAGTGATAAAATGAAAACCAAAAACCTTTAACTCTAATATGTAAACAGAATCAAACAAGAATTTTGAATCTTTCATTTTTGGAACATGAACATAAGTGCATAATTCTTCATTTGCATATTTAAACGTAACATTTCAGAAAACTTGTAATACAAAATAAATATATAAAATCAACAATAAATAAAAATGTGCAATTCTTAATATAATCAGTCAGCTGGGAAACTATCTTCAGCCCGCCGGAACAAAAACACTGAAGAAAGAAGGAAAGAAAGAACAGCCGGTGGGTGTTTAATGTACTTTCACATAATTTATGTGATTTATATTTATTTTTATTCATGCCATTTACACGTGTACTTGCTTGCTAGTATGGCACAACAAATTTACCGTCAGCATTTCTTACAATGTGAATTCAGATATATTTGTGTATATTTTGCAAATAAATAAACAGATTGGGTGTGGAGTAACTGATAGGGCACATTCATTTATTGTAATTTATTGCGTCTTCTAACCGGGTCCATTAAAGCACAGTATCCTGATTTGACATTAAATTACGAGAAATAAAAAGAAATTTCATTTAATCTTTTTAGTGAAGTGTAAATCATGAATACGCAAAATACTTTGACGTTTTTGATGAATGGATGGAATTTTATTATATGCAGGATATATGTGTTTTAATGGCAATTTATGGATTTTTTAAATAAAAAAATATTAAATTTAAATCACTGCACAATTTTTATGATCGTTATATATTGTATATATATACAAACTACCACAATAATTATTCAGTGTGTGTGTGTGTGTATATATATATATATATATATATATATAAACACTCACTCACTCACTCACTCACTCACTCACTCACCATTTAAAAACT